ATATATTCTAGTTAGTAGTTTCGAAGTGGCCTATTACATTAGCCATGTTTATTGAAGGTTAGAAACGTTTTTGTTATGCTCACTTGTTAAGCAATAGAAGCAATACCAGTTCTGTTAAAAAATTTTGTTGCATCGTCTTTCCACCAAATAACAGAAAAGTATCGATAGTGGTATCGATAAAGACTCGGATCGATAAGGAGTATCGATAAAGGTATCGATATCAATAAATATTAACGATCCCCATCCCTAATTAGAACATTTTAATTTTTCATATATTAACAAATCCTTGACAACAAAAACACTGTGGTTAATTATGCACATCTATATGCAAACCTTAAAGATGATAAGTACAGAATTCATGCTCTTTTCAGAAGAAGATTTTGTGTTTTATGGGGTTAAGAGAAAATTATGTGTCTCTGTAGGTCATCTAAGAGTCTTCCGTAAAAATTATTGATAACTATTTAAAAAAAAACAATTAAATAATCAATTTATGTAGATATTAGTACTTGTAAATATCAATTGTATGCAGAATGATTATTGATAAAAGTAGGTAAGTAATGATGGAAAAGATGTTCGCCCCACAACTCAAACGTTAAAGAATTGTATCCACTATACCTTTTATCTACAAAGCACAGATGTTTAAATATTCATGCGTCTATTTGTCAGCAAAGGTTGTAGGAAAGTATAGTTTATCTTTGTTTAGAAAATATGGATGTTGTGCCCATTCATTTTCCTGTTGTAGATTGAGCCTGAGATCAACTTTCGGCCACCCCCTCAGTGTACATGGGCCTGGCCACCCTTATAAAAATGTTCTGGCTACGCCTCTGTACATTTAATCATTTTATCCTAAGATATATGTTTGTTAGAGGGGATGTTATTTCAAATATCTGAAATGTTCACATCTTGATTAGAAAGAAATCCATTTGCGATATCTGAATTACACGTCCACTCAAGCTAATAAATGCCATTATAGCCTGCCATACATTTAGTTGTTGTGTCGCGAGAGCGTCACGTGAAACGTCCAGCTCACGTGATAGTTGACAACCAGCATAACAGGAACAAAATGGCTGCTACAGGGGATGAAGCGGCAGCGATGGACAGCATCTCCAGGGAACCAGCAGCCGTGTCAGCGGGGTTAAGTAGAGCTGCTGGCGGCGTAGCTCAGGCTGAACGCACGGAAGATCCACCGGAAGCTCCGTCGGTAGCTCCAAAGAAACCCGGAACTAACGGTGCGTTTCCTTGGTTTCCATCTATGCAAGTGTTTTGCTTTCCTCTGATGTGTGAAACCAGCCTTTCTATGGGCTGCTGATTTCTTCCAGTTGTAACTGAAGGCAGGATTAATCTGCTCCTCTTATTGTGTGCAGCTGATGGAGGAGTGGAGACTGCAGAGGAGGCTGTGGAGCCAGCAGAGCCAGACATCAACGAGCTTTGCTCTGATATGTTTGAGAAGATGGCCATTTTCCTGCAGGGGGAGCTCACAGGTGTTTGCTCAGTTTTTACCAAATTCATTGTGCATCCTGTCTGCATGGATTTGTGTGTTTAGTCCAAAATGGGGCTGCATGGTGGAGCTAGCAGGGGCGGATTTAGGAAATTCGGGGCCCTAGGCAAAGACAGGCAGGGGGCCCTCTGAATTATATATATATATATATATATATATATATA